GTTTTTCAAATTAAATTTCCATCGGAAATAAAATAAAGCAATTGCGAATCTACCTGTTGTCGTTTGCTAGGTCATGCCAAAAGTAGATGTGCCGACACCGGCTGAATGTACACAAGTTTTAACTCCAAAACCGACCAGTGAAATTTCAATACGATATAGCAGGTGAATAGACCATAATTTATTCTCAGTATTGGCGAATCTTTGCCGACATCATTATTATTTTACATTTTTCCTCATTAAAATTCGAGTTTGCGAAGAGAAGGCATCACAGTATAGACACGAAATGACTAAAGAAATTCAAAGAGCTTGAGAATTTTAGTTATTGGTAAAATTTGCTCTTTGGGTGTAATAGTCGAGGAAGAATCTGCGTGACAAAAGTGCTAATGACCTCATGCATCGGGCTCAACGTCCTTGATTTGTTATCATGATGACGAATAAATGCATTGCCTGTTCTCGATCTCTTTTTCTATGTTGTAAAAGAATTGGCGAAGGTATCTAGTCGGGCTTCGATCACGTAACACGATCTGGCCGAGGAGCTGAACTCGGAACTACCGAGACCAAATCCAGATAGAGAATGGGTGGAGAATTTACCTGTTTCAAGATTTCAACTCCAGTGTCCTAAGCCACTCGGCTTCTCCGTCTCCACCAACCAGTGCCGAAATAACTTTCTGGAGGCACAATCTCTTTCCAGATAAATTAGTGAGAAACTTTAATTGATAGCAAAAATTTGAAAGAAATATGTTAAAATAAACAATATTAAAAAACAAACAGTGTTTTAAAGTTCATACCATAGTCATGGAAATTGCAAGCTTCAAGTTGGAAACAAATGATTATGATGAATCTCTGACGTGCAGAAATTAGAAAAAGGACTTCATTGTAGGCGTTTGAAACACTGAGGGTATTGATCATGCATTGTTTTGACTCTGCCCAACAATAATAAACTAAATATTTGTATAAAAAAATGCAATTCGATTATGATTATTTTCCACGCCGACACAAAACGACATGCCCAATTTTACTCTATTTACATTATAGATAATTGTTTTTGTTGTATGTCATGCAGAGCGGAATTCCAAATTTACATACAGGGGTAAAATGAATGCTGCGTTAGTCAGTGTTCTTTCAAATACTGTTTTCCCAAAAAGACTATAAAAGATAATAATGGCAATAAAAAGCGTTCGGCGACAGTTTCAAGGGAAAGTAGTTCCGAAGAGTTGGAGTTCGAAGCCAAGATGAATAAGACATTTAACTGCATGTTATTCCGTCAAAGAGTCACTCGTAAATAAAACCTTTCAGGTCTGAAAACAAGGTTATAATTTAAATCATGATGCAGTATAACAAGACTATAATATAGGTTCAAGATGAGTATATAAGAAGAATATTAATTCAACGAATTATAAGAGGTGGGTACCTTATCAGTTTCTTATTAAAATGGAAATATAATTCTTGGCCTAATTCAAATACGTTTTCCTTATTAAAATGCTAAATTTTAGCTGGGCGCCTTCTGATAACTGATGTCATCAACGATTGCTATTGCAGCAAGGAAATAAATTAGTAATAACAAAACCTTGCTAGAGATACATGCAGTGGTGATCTGGGAATATATTCTAAAGATGGCAATAAGGGAATGTCCAGCGAGGCATGAACAAATCTCGGTATTCTTGTTCAACCAGACTTACATTAAAGCCTACAAATCCCTTATTTGAAAAATAGCAACAAGTTTTCTAGTTGAAAAGACTAAATAAGATAAGCTTTCGGCTATCAGTCTATAGCCTTAAACGAAGTCTCATTGATAAATTGAATTGATAGTTCGCAATTTTATAAATCCAAGCAGTTCCTGAATTTTTCTGCAACCTCTATGGGGATCCCTGTGTGGATTCCTAGCTGCTCAACAAGTCTTCATTTTGGTAATGAAAACGAAGAATAACCATCAATATTGAACGGTAAAATAACCGAAAACTATAAAAGTCAGCATGAAGCGAGTACCAAACACTAACATTTGCGTTTATATCGGAAACTGAAGGAAGCATATTGAAATTGAAATTGAAAAAAGCTATGCTTTGGAACCGCGACCATCAAGAAAAGATGAAGAGGAAACCAGCTAAAGGAACTCACCTTGAAGCTTCACAGAACCAAAGACCAATATGCTACTTTTACCACATGCAAAAAAGGAAAATCAACTTATCTGATGTTTTGGCATTCATAAGTGGTGATGCAGCCATCAATTGTAGGACTGGCAATCTTGTGTAAGAAGAGAAGACATAATCAAACTCACACGTAATTAAGATATATAAGAGTTTAATCAAAACTGTAAAAGCTGAGAAGATTAGATTTCAGGCTTTTTCTTTCTTTTCTCAAGACTGTTGCGTGACCTTGAAGTATACAAACAACAACTGAAAATTTCAACTTTCCACGTTCTCTAGTCTTGAAATTATACAAAACTAAACGTACTGAATATCTAACATATGACATTATTTCTCTCCCAACTGCATAAAGAGGCTTAGGTATATAAAAACAGTAATAGGATTAACGACATAAAAAAATTAACTACATAAAAATAAATATATTTATACAATGAGGGTGATAAAAGGCAAGGTTAAAGGCAAAACCTTGCAGCAACTTGCAATTACAGCCTGAGATAACACGAATACTCCTGACTAAAAGATCCCACCTTATAACTCAGTATTTCGAGTCACAGAAGGGGAATTTACATCATGTGTAGTGCAAACGATGATAAATATTAACTAAATATCAACGCCTAAATATTAACACCTGACGATCTCTGCATTGGTGAGAATAATTATTATCACCAGGTTTTTTTCTATCGTTGAAAAATGCTATGAATCAATTTTCATGTATTCGCACTGTAAATCAAACTTTCATTAATTTGAACTGGAATTCAAAAATAATTTTTCCTCTTTATCTTAAAAAGTAAAAAAAATAAATAAACAAATAAATAAAACGTTTCCCCCATTCTTTTAGCACAACATTTATCTCACTCTTCTCAATTCAAGTAGCAAAAATCTATTTCTCGAATTTTTTTTCAAAAGTTACATGTACTTACCATGATACCTTAAGCCCCGGCTAAACGATCGCAACATTTGAACGCAACAAATCCCAACATCGTTGGCCCAGTATTTGCAACTCCGGCCAAACGATCGCAACGTTTGAACGCAACATATCACAACTAGTGCGCATGCCCGGGCGCAACACTTTTGCAAGTGTTGGATGAAAAATTTGACCATTTTCAAATTCGAGTCAACAACATTCAACATGTCGCAATGTGTTGCAACAGGGTGGCTAAACGGGCGCAACATGCCGCGCCCAACAATGTTGCGATATGCTGCGTTGAAATGTTTCGATCGTTTGGCCGGGGCTAAAATTTCTTTATCGTTACTTTTCAGCTATTTCTCACAATGAGAAACGTTTTATGCCCTTAGCCCTAGAGCTTCTATGGGGGTGCAAATACTTCTAGTTGTTTCATACCACACTCAGAGAAACCAAAAATAAGCGCCAGCCTGAAGGGTCTCTTGGCGGGTATTTAGACATAAATCCAGAGCAGCCCAAATGATAGCCCTTACTATTGAATGCATCTATGAAGGTGATATGGTTGTTGATTACCAGAAAAATAAATAAACATGGTTTGGTCCTTATACACAGTACTTACTCACAACTGTGTTATGATAAGCCTAGCCCAACTGGTTACAGATTGTACATGTAATATGCCTCTATAACAAGGGTTCATGACTTAACTGTAACCCAAATATAAGAACCTGGTTGATCTTGTATGGCTAAACAGGTTGTTATAGTTTGGGTATTAAAGTGGCAAATTTCTGTCAGCAGGTTCTTAAACCACTACGTTCTTAAACGTTTTTACTGTACTTCAACTATTTATAGAGTAAAGTTAGAATATTGGTTTCACATAAACGCCTAATCATTGATGCACAAGTTGTGGTTTATCTTATGAATACTTACAAGAGATTATCAAGGTACCTACAATCTCTCTTGGTACCTACAATTCAAAGTTATGGTACTGTAATAAACTTGCTAAGATTTAAAAAATTCTGTCCTGAATTCAGAGTCACCGTAAATTGTCGAAAAATCAGTTAAGGTGGGCCCCTTGACAAAATATTTTGAACTATGCAAAAAGCTTCATCCTAACATTCTTATTAAAAGAAAATTCAGTACTTAACACTGAGGGTCGTTAAGTCGTTATTTTTAGTAATAAGGGCCTACAATTAAAATTAAAGCTGTTTTAAACAGGTTGTACTATTCACTATTAATTCCAGTTTGCATAATGTGGAATTAAGACAGTAATACTTGGCAAACATTGCCG